TAATGAGACTCGTACACAAATTAGATAAGTGTACCTATTTATATTATGTTAAAAATATATATTGATTCTATATTATATGTAGTTATTATATTTTTTTTCTTATTTCATTTTAAAGTTATTAATAATTTATTGTTTCCATCTACAAAGTTCTAATGTTAATATGTACGATAATTAGGATTTCTTAACTTTTAAAACAATATTAAAGATAGCGACCGTAATTATAATTAATTCAATTTGAATAAATGTAAAGTCTAGAGTAAAATTGTGAAACAATATAAAATGTAAAAATGTGCAAAACATTTTAAACAAAAGAAGGTTAAATACAAATGAAGTTAAACAACATATTTTCGAATACAATTCACCTATTTGTGTCATCAAAAATTAAAAACACCACATATTTGTTATAAAATATATTCTAATTACTCTAGTCGTATATAGTGGCATACAATAGAAAATTGTTTCAATACTAACGAGATACATACAATATAGGTACTTTAACAATATAAACGTTTAAATTTTCCAATATTATACTATGATTAAACAAAAATATTTTATAGGTACATGTACATATTATATTTCACGTAAATAATAAATTGGACGTATACAGGGTGCAACAGAAAGGTTTTTCTGTTACATCTTGTACTTACCTATACTATAATTTAGTTATATCTATAATTTCAATTATATGCATAAATTAAGAATAGGGCTGCAACTCAAATAATGAAATAAAAAAAGTGAGAAAAGTGATTAATTTTTTTTTTTTATATGTGACTAAAGGTGACTATATTTTTTTTAAACGATAAAAAGTGACTAGGTATCTTTTCTTAATAAAAAACAATTTTAATAGGCAACTAACTAAAGTATACTCGTATTGCTCATTTACATTTTATTTCTGAAAACTGAAGATTTGAATTTGTCGTTTAGTATATTTAAAATCGACTTTCCCATATTTTTGATTTTTTGAATTTAACTTCTCCAAAAATTAAAATACTCTTTTTTAATATAACATTTTTAGGAATTTGGGGGATAATATCAAACATGCAAGAAAGTCGATTTCAAGTAGACTTGACAAATTCAAATCTGTTTTCAGAATTCTTATAGCTTCCATAGATTAATTGGAATGTTTGGCAAAAAACACGTCTAAAATACTATGTCAGGCATGTGTTAGACAAAAACAGAAAATCACGGTATCGAATCCCCTTAATAATAAAAAGTAACAATAACATCAACTCTTTTGATATCTTATGAATTATTAAAACAACATAAATATAATATAATATATTATATAGATATTATCTACCTTGAAACATACCATGATATTGATGGTTACTGAAAATATGGCTGTAGATCATGAGATTAAATAGGAAATATAGATAGTACTATAGATTCTATCTTTAATCGTGCATAGGATATAATTTTATCAAATTTTCATTAGGTATCGTGTCTTAATCATAGATAATAATTTATATATCTTATTAGTTTAATTACTTCCTAATGATTATTTGAAATATGAGAGTCCATTACGCCGCACTCTGTATTATCAAAAATTTTAATCGCGGATGTATCACGACTATAATGGTACAATACAATATATTAATATATATACGAATATTGTAAGGGTAAAATTCAATAAACAGCATTTTAAAAATTACATGACTAAAAGTATTTTTGGATTCTTGCATGAAACATTATAATAAATGGCTATAAGTGAGAAAAGTGACAGTTTTCGAAATAAAGTGACAAAAAGTAACAAACCAAAATAGTGCAAAATGAGAAAGTGACAGGTTTGCAAGCCTCGGCGATACTATCACATAATATACATGTGTATTTTTTAAGTCAAGACATTTATCTAATATTTAAAAACCATTGAGGTCGTCATGAATGTTTCTTCATCATCAAGCGATTTATTGTTTACATAAAGTCAATGTTATTATACTTATTTGTTTTTAATTTAAGCAATTGAATGTATTTAAATTTAAAAAATAAAAAAATAAGTAATAACAGTTTTCCTGATTTTATGTAATCAATATAATCTGCAGAGATGAATTATAAAAGGATCAATTGCTTTTTTAAATTATTAAAATGTACTTAAAAATACAATTTATGATTCTTTCCTGATGCGTAAACCACTATGACAATAATAAATCGATCATAAAGGTAACATTGTATTAAGATTTATACTTATGGTCATAAAAATGTTAATGTCTACTGTATAAATATAATGTTTCTATTTTTACTCATTTATGCATTTAGAGGATTAGGGGAGGAGGGCGTTAGCCACGGGTGGAACTTTTATAGGGGTTGCCCTTTTTATATGAACATACTTGTGTTTACTATTATAAGTTTAAAAAATAAATTCATAAATATGCAATGAAACCGAATTATTATTTAAGCCTTATTATGATATGATCCTAACTTATTTTCTAATCATTAAGATCAGTATGAATAACTATTTACTATATACAAAGAACAAGGGACCTATAAATAATATAAGCTACCATATCCACACACCTTAACTTGACGCCAAATGACACGCCACCCTCAATTCGTAATACTCGGAAAACAGGCGACGCGTTTCGTCACACGAAAATAATTATAATAATTTTTATATTAATTTACTATTTATATTTTTATTATTATATTATTAACTTATTTTTTTAGTTGTGAAAAAGTTTTTGTAGGATTCATGAAGATTATCCATACATTAATATTCCAACATGTTATACTTATATAGTTATATAATAATGGTTAATACGCCAAAATCAATGGCAACACCATATACCTAATACAATGTCTACATTTTTAATTTGTTCATAATGCAGTACCAAATCAATTATTATTATATAATAATATAAAAAGACATATAATTAAGTGGTGGTGGGAGGAAAACCCTTCCGGGTCTGTAAAAAAAACCTAGTGATGGGTATCTGTATAAAATTCATAATTTTGTTATATAAATTGGAATGAACCTTTAAACCACCATCCATATATTATTATATATTTATATGGTTGATTTTTTCGCATGGTATTTTTTGTTGGTCAGTTATAATCACAGATATATCAAAATACTTACATGTATTTTTATATACAAAAAAATCACCCCTAACAGTAACGGATACCTCTAAATAGCAAACATATGCAAAACCACAAGTTTTTTTGGAAACTAAAAACCAATCATCTTGAATAGCGAAGAAAATTTCAGAAACCAAGAATGCCTGGCACTTACAACGTTTCACTGATATGAATCTGGTCATAATGGAAAACGGTGGCTACAGACCGTTTTCTCCATAGCCATCACGTTTAAGGTTCTCGATCAAACCGTTACCATTATATCGTCCTGTTCGCAAATGTTTAAGTGTTGCACAGTGTGACAAGTGACAATATTCCGACACGAAACGAGTCTATTGTAATAGACGTATATTTGAGTCCCATCACTTCCGATTGGACGAAATGCGTCACCCGTTTCTCGAGGATTACGAACTTATATAGTCATGGTAAATCACACACCAGTCGTCTATGTAAATTATTCATAGGTTTTTCATACTAGGATGATTCTGATAGGATACGATTGATATTTAGAATTTATTGTAGTTGCGCATATCATAATGTAGTGTGCGTATATTGATTTATAAAATCTAAATAATACCTTGATAAAATATACGGTGATCGGTTTTTTAAAACACCAAAAAATAAATATTTTTAAAAATGGTTAAACGATAGCATAAAAAAACACTCTTGTGTAAGTATTACATATGGGGACCAGTCGAATATCTAGTGAGGGAGGGTTATTAGGAGTCTGGACGTCACTTTTATATCAAGGTATATTCACGTACATCGTTTTTTAAACAAATATTGTTCTCTTATTATAAAACTTTTTTTCACTCATTATCCGAGATCATTTACTTGATAATAAAATGGGGTGATTTTATTTTGTAGAATTTGTTGTTCCTATCTAATTATATAACATATGTTTAACCTACATAATTTATGTTTACAGTAGGTATAATATGTACCTATTTATAAACGATATAAGTTTTAGATACAAGTATTTAATAAACACAAAGTCCCGTAAAATTGGTGAAGCAAAGCCATTATAATATATAACATGTTCATGTAAATATAGAGGATTTTCTAAAATACCTACATTGAATAGAACTTATGGAGCGTACACGTTCGGCACACAGTTAGCTGATCAGTTTACCATTTTGCTAAACACATTAAAAAGCCTAAAACTACTAACAAATAAAAACCTGACATAACATAGCAACCATTAAAATAATTCTTGTGACAGGGTCGCGTAGAAAAAACAAAATAGTTTGTATTTCGTCGCATCAGACGCATCATATTGCAACGGAACAGCATGATCAGAATAGAAATTGTCAGACTCGCTGGATTTACGTAGGACAAGGCGTAAAGTTGAAACTTCTGATTATAAATTTGTTATCTTATCCGTTCGTAAAACGGAGACAACATAATGCTACTGTGGAGTACTCTTAACGATTATTGAAGTGTAATAATTAACTTAGTGAATCCGTTAATTTACGAATGTTTTGCAAATAAAGATTATATAAGAAAAAAGTACAAATTCAAATCATCGATCACAATTTTTAAATACACATTTGAACATATATTTTTTTCAGTAATGAAGTTGACAAAATGTATAGTGCTTAATTTAAAATAATCACGCAATCTCAATACAATAAAGTTGATTAGTTGAATAATCCAAAATGCACAATTGTGGCATGGAGGTTGGCCGCAGTCACTAATGTGTGCTGCGGTCAAGCAATGTCCAGCGTCACTGGCTCCCGGATGGGTGACCACCCTAGTTCTTGACGACGACGAATCCTTGTCATTCATAAAAAACATACTCCACAACACACCGTGACCCCCCCCCCAAAAAAAAAAATACAAATACCAAAATATCATAAATTGAATTTGAACAAATTTCACTATTTTATATTTCTTAGAATAATTTGTTAAATTATACTACATATTCTTACCTTGACATTGAAATCCTTGTTTTCCAAAACCCCTAAAATAAAAGACATCAGAGGTTAGATTTTTTATATCAAATTGATTAATACAATACACGTAGGTATGTTAACATTTTCTAAATAAATTAAAAATTTGTTTTGGTGACGTAGCTTTGTATGTACCTATAGTTTACACATTTAATATAAATTTCAAACTAAAAAACTATTTACTAAATATTTTAACACGCAAATACAATGTCAACTATTTTCATTTCATCAACTACATTTAGAAATATGGATATACGATTTATTGAGTTTATAAATTATAAATAAGTATTTTAAAAATGTATGTCTAATAAGATAAATGTAACACTAAGTATTGAATAGAAAATGTTTTAAAAATATATGACACTTTCATTATCCGTTAAGAATAAAGCATTGTTCTAAAAAATGAATACCTATTTGAATAATTTTATTTGAAAAAATGTCAAGATGTTTTATGTAAATTCTTTAATTTATATAGGAATAATGTATTTTAAACCAAAACTATTGTGGCAAACATTTTCCATACAAAATTAATACACTAGGTTGGTTCAAAGATTTTATAATACATAAATCCAGTAGTATATTGTAAAAAACACCCATCTTTCAAAAAAAAAATCATTCAAGTACTTCCATTCAAAAATAAATTGAAAAATGAACGAACTTCAAATTACTATTTATTATATTTATAGTCTATATATTAAACCATGACTATCATTATATTACAACTATCACTTACCTAAATAATAGGTTAAAGCTATTTAATAATACTAATATTAGTTATATAAATAAAAATAATAATTCACTTTCCAAAAACCACCAACACTTTAACTGAAGTGCAATACAATTAGCCTTGCCAACACTTAATTAAATCAGTAATACTGGTTAACTAAACCAACAGTTGAACTTGAGCATAAGTTATCGCATAGGTTAGAAAACATAGGTAGGTAGTCAGATAAAACTAATATAGTATTAAAAACAGTAGAACGTGAAAAACATTAAAGTATTAAACAAGTTATGAAAGCTCACTCTACAATAGTAAATTCCCAGTTTCTAAATAGTAAACGTATTTCAATACAAAGCAATAAGCAATAATCCCTTATAAAATTTTAAAATAATTTTGTAAACTTTATATTTTAGTATTTATTTTTTAATATTCACTAGGTAGTGCAGGTAGTGTGAATCTATATGAAATACTTAATTTTGATATTTTTAGTGCTACCTACTACCTAGCTATACTCCTATTTCAATTTAAGTTTACCCCCATTTTTTGCGAATGCAAAGTATGGCGTAAACGTTGTGACAATACAGTCCATTACGTATATACCGTGGTGTTTTGCGACTTGAAACTGTAGAACTACAGTTAACTGTATAGTTACAACGTTTTCATTATAATCTGCGTGCTCAAACCAAAAGTGGGTAAACTTACGAAGAATAATATAAGTATAGTAATAATAAGTATAGTATAGATTTACTTTTAATATAACCGTTACACCGTTATTTATTTATTCAACTATAGTATTAAAATATTTATATTATTAAAACTCTAATAAAATGCATTTCTAGTTTTTGTTTTGCATTATGAATTATTAATGGAAAAATGAATATCAACAATCGTAACTATATACTGGTAGCTAGCGGATGGACCTCGGGATGGACGGACACAGGGGGGATATGAGGTGTTCTAAGCTTAGGTTTAGATACCTAAAACGAAAAAAAGATTTTACAATGTAACCTATAGTGATAACAACAAGCATGTATAAATAATGCCTAGTGATAATAAAAGATATATGAACATAAAATGAAGAACATGGTAGACTGAGATTCTAAATAAATAGGTATTTAAAATTAATTTTTTTTTTCTTTTTAGAAGTATGATATTTTAAAATTAAATTATTGTTTATTATCACAACTAAATATGAATGTATTATTAACACTATGATATATAATATAATATATTCTATAATTCACTAACCAACATAATTTGTAAAGTTTAAAGATTTGTTTTATATGTTGTAAACTTGTAAATAACTAAGTAGCTAGATAAATAAATAAATCCAGATATAAATAGCACAGAGCTCTACTTAAAGGTAGTAGATATAACAATGTTTTTGTTTTGTTTAATAATAAAAAAAATTAAAAAAATAGTGTTTCAAAATGGAATTAGTCAAGTATCCATTAATTTATATTTATTGTAGTCCTAAGACACTTCTAAAAAAAAACTTTTTGTTGGTACTAGTAAGTATAATTATCAAAAAGTATGTAGGTACTATGTATATGATAAGTATTTTATTATAATTTTATAAACATTGTAAATTAAACGATGCAAATTTAAATAAAACAATAGATGCAAAGGACTAATTTTAAACGTTACAACGTATATAAAAAAACACACACTCATACATTAATCCATCTATGTATCCATACATACATAAAATAAAAATTTTGATTTTTGATATTTAATATTTTTGAACATACCTTTACGGTGAACAATATATTAATAAGGTCAAAACTAATAGAAACAAGCATTATTTACACGATATTGTGTTAGTTGATCAGATTACAATTTACTACAAATAACATCCAGTCTGAACATGAGCTACGAATTAAGATTTTATGGATGTCCAACGAGTCATGTAAAAATGAAAGCTAATCTGACTCTACCTTATCGTATCTGGGCAAATATGCGTTACTGGTGGATGTATTCGATATGATAAACATTTAACAACTAGCTATATATAGTAGCAGCTGCCCACCATAATTTTAAAATTGTTTATAGGAGTTCTTTGATAGTTAGGATAGTTGTTGTTAGTTTTATATTTGAAATAGTTGGACACACCATCCACCTGGAGTGCTGCTAATCTCTTGTTTCCGGTTTCTTAACACGTCATGTCAGCTGTTTTGGAGTCAAAACAGCTTTCACTTAACGACAATTTTATATTTTTATCATACCTCGTTGAGCATCCATACTATCCTAATTCGTGACGTGAGCTAAACAGATAGTGTCAAATTTAAATTTAAAATTAGAGAATTTATAATGATTTTTAGTTAGCATTATTAATTAATATCATCAACACGCTTTTTAAATTGTATAGTTATAAAAATAATAAAATCATTACGAAGTATAAATTGTATAATATAATATTAGGTAATAAAATGAATCTTGTACTAATCAATAACAAAAAACGGACAGTTTTTAATTAGAAAATAATATGACCTTGTTAAAGTAGATTAAATAACATATTATTATAATTTATAAGTTATAACATTACGTGTACTATTTTATTTTTGATATTTGATACATATTTTATTTTAAGATTTACTATTATATTAATGATTTATAATATGATGTTGAATATTATTGCTGTATAACTGTTTGTGTCGTGTTAAAAATAAATAAAAATATTGAAATGGTTCATTTTTAAAAAATGTAATTAAATCACACATATACATTAATATTCAAGTAATAATACAAATTTACATCCTTAAATTAAAACGAATCACCTTTAAAGCCAACATAGAGATGCGTTAAGCAGTTAATTACAAAATTGTTGTCTTAAAATTGTAAGTTTTAAATTTTATTTTATTTTAGATTCAAAAATGAGCGAAAAATATATTGATTTGACAATAGCGTGTTTTATACTTTTAATTATCCCTGGTAGAACAGTACCTACTCCAAAAGTTTCATATTTCATTTTAAAGTGAATATTGATTGTACTTTAAACATGTTATTTCAGGAAGTTACAGACAATTTCTAGAAAATAAGGTTAGCTGTCGAAAAACTGTGAAATTGTGTAGCAAGAAAATTAGTCATTTTTTATTTTATCAAATTAATAATTATTGGTATTTCTAAAATCCAGAATTTTCAATTTTATATTGCATATTATTATAAATAATAAACAATTAGTTAAATATTTGGTTCGATGTAATTTTGGGTTTTAACCTATGTGTTTAGTGTGTAGGTATCTAAAGTATCTTGAAAATCTTAAGCTAAAATTGTTTTAAGTACTTAATACTTTCGAATTAAGAATATACTACTACCAATATACTGGATACTGTTATTTTTGAAGTACATAATATTTTTAAATATTATTTGACTTACAAATTGTATGATAGGTATATATTAATCTTTAAAAACAGTAAAATCTTAATTAAATAAATCTAGACTTCGGATGTGGTACGATACTGTGATACTCTACGAGTATGATAAAGTTATTGATTTGGAAGTAGAACAATTAATTATACAACATTCTCAAAACAATTTTGATTTCTTTGTAGAGCTTATAGTTTGTTAAAAGTAAAAACTGAATTATCGTAAATCTAAAGAAGAATTACAAATAAAAAAAGTTTACAACACAGCTTTTAGTCACAAAACACCACATTTTTTTTTTTGAAACTGCCTGAACAAACATTTTAATAGTAAACACTAAAAACACTTAGTTATTCACATACAATATACATACCATTAAATAAAGTAAGAATAATTTTTATTTCACAATTTGGTATCAAGAAATTCATAATATTTGATAGAAAAATAAGCCAAATTTAAAAATATCTGTCAACAATTTTATTGATGCTTCATATCTGAATAAAAAAATATTGCACGTTTCAAAAATGATTTCTTCACCAAAGTGACGTATGTATTATTAGATACTGATATAAGGTTTTAAAATGTGGGTATATAAAAAAATATTCCATTGCATAAAAGTGGTGAACTGATCTACACTGTATAAGTACTAGAAAATATTTTTTTTGTTGGTGAAGGAAACCTAAATTACGATCTTAGATCATATACATATCACATGTTATTAGATTACGATACGTCGTGTAACAATAATACAATGTTGCTTACTGGTTTTTAAATTTTTACGAACATCACAGTCAATGTCCGTAATCTATAAATAACTCATATGTTTCTATTTGTGAGGAAAAATTAAGAGCAAGCTATAGATATACCCAAATTTATATACAAACCAGCAAACATTTATTTTATCGATCACAAAATTTAAACATTACA